CTTTAGTTGGAATTGGATGAGGAACTTGGAAGAGACTTAAGCTTCAGAAGAAAGGAGGAGGAAGTGGTATTGGTGTTGGTGGTAGTGGTGTTACTGTGGTCATTTTATAGGCAGCTGGGAGACATGAAACAGAGCCTGCCACTGCCCCACTGCGTGTCTTGGTACCTCTAATTCGAGTCTGGGAGCCTGGCTCTATTCTGTGGAGAAACTATATTTGATTTTCTAGAAATGCAGTGACCATGATTTGGTAAGGGCAAGAGGGCTGCCAATGCAAGGCTGGGGGTGCACATCTTTGGGAGGGAACACCGGGTACAGGCACTCCTGGTTTAAGTCAAGTAGACTTGAAAGAGACCCAATCTGTGCAACAGGGGAGCTGAGGGCTTTTCCTTTCTTGTTGGTGACTTTCACTCTATGCACACTTTTACAGCATCCCTCACCTAGAAAGAGTTACACCAACCTTTGTAAGTTGCGGACCAACACAACTCCCATGTTACATTGACATTATTTCCTTATTTGTCAATTCTACATGAGCCGTTGGTGGCACAGAAACTCTAGTTGTAGCAAAACTGACTATATTACAAATAGTACCTGGGGCCGGGCGCGGTGGCTCACACCTGTAATCTTAGCACTCTGGGAGGCCGATGCGGGCGGATTGCTCGAGGTCAGGAGTTCGAAACCAGCCTGAGCGAGACCCCGTCTCTACTAAAAATAGAAAGAAATTAATTGACCAGCTAAAAACACATATACAAAAATTAGCCAGGCATGGTGGCACATGCCTGTAGTCTCAGCTACTCGGGAGGCTGAGGCAAGAGGATCGCTTGAGCCCAGGAGATTGAGGTTGCTGTGAGCTAGGCTGATGCCACGGCACTCACTCTAGCCTGGGCAACAAAGCGAGACTCTGTCTCAAAAAATAAAATAAAATAAAATAAAATAGTACCTGGAAATGGGCTGAATATGGATGAGTTAATCAATAGAGACATTTGAGAACAGATATATTTATTAATAATTTTTCTAGTTCTAGCAGAGTTTTGTTCTCTGTGAACAGTTGGGTCTCACTGAGGGCCAGTGTGGAGGGCACAGTGTTCCCCAAATCTCAGTCATAATTTTGGCTGTATCCATACTCAGCCCATACAGTTCCTTAATATTTTTCTTTAAATTTAATTGACTTGTTTTTAATCATGGTTATCTTAAAAGGGAAACTATATCATTATGGAAAATGGAAAGCCAATATCACCTGTCATAAATAGAAGGTAAGCCTAAATATAAATATATAACTAATCAAATAAAACTCTTTACCCATAGACTGTCCTCAAATGGTCTCCTATTCCACCAGTGGCCCTAGGGACACATTTGGACAAATACTTGTGCAATAATATTAACAGTTAAGAGCTCTGGCTCTGGTGTCAGATTGTCTGGCTTCAATTTCTGGCTATAAAATCATGAGCAAATATTTAGTCTAAGTTTCATTCCTTCACTTGTAAAATAGAGTATTTGGTTCATAGAGCTGATGTGAGGATTCAGTGGGATGATACATAAGTAAAAGACTTAGTACAATGCCTGATATATGATAAACCATAAATATCAGCTGTCACTGTTATTCTTATTGCTATTATCTTTTTGGATTGGGTCACCAGTGTATAGCTCTTCCCAACAGTTGGTCCTTAAACACACCCTATTGGTGGACAAGAATAACAGACAGAATGTACAGAAGGTGCATGTCTTGAAAGATTTGCAGACTACTGAAAATAAGAAGCCAAGTCAATGGAGCGGTTATGCTTTTCATGTTAAAAACTCCAGTCAGCAAGTCAGTGAACCTAAGTATATCAGTCAACTTTAGATTTTTGATGTATTTTTGATGTAACCTGTCCCTTCCCAACCCCTTGGTTCTCTGAGATATTTTTCGCTACTGGCACTCGCTGAATCAGTCAGAGTCCCAACAGAAATCAGATGGTACCCAAAGGAGTGATTGAGAGGTTTAATAATAGAACTACTTACGGAGGTGTGGGCAAGAATTAAAGAAGCCAAGAAAAGATAATGAAGCAACGCAGGGCCTAGTGAAAACAGGAAGCTATGACAACCCTAAAGCCTAAGGGCAAGGGGAAGAAGCTGTTGCAGGATCCCGGGTGCCACCCCCCCCAACACTCCTCAGGAGTCTTGACCTTAGTAGGGGCCAGCAGGGAGGCAGCAGAGAGAATGCCTGTCATGAATGGATTCTTCTCCTGCCTGCCTGGCTCCTGCCAGGGCCTCCCAGGAACTGAAATCAGCTGGAAGCTAGAGGACAAGGGAGCCTAGGACATGCCACACTTAGAGGTCAGCAGAGAAGGGCGGATAGCTGATCTGGAGGCCCAGATGGAGAATCACCAACACATTCCTCACATAACACGATGATGTTTACAGATCTGTCATGCCCCTTTGCACTCCTTAAACTCTCAGTAGAACGAGGTGTAAATGCCACATGAATCAGATCGTAATGTGTGTGTCAGTGACACAAAGACTAGCGGGGGTGCCAACGTGGAGGTGTGTACCCCCCCCATAGAGAGGATGGAGAGAGCGCCCCCTGCAGGCCGCTTGTCAGCCAGCGCTCTGCTACCGGCAGCATGGCTTTGGAGTGAAGGGGACAGTGCACGGAGACCCTCGTGACTTCCTTCTTCACCACAAGCTAGCACAATCAGGGAGCAATGCAATTAAAATCGCTCACCTACTAACAGAGAAAGGGTGTGTTCCCCAAGTCTTGTGAGAGAAGAACACAGCACCGTGAGTCTCAGGAGCAGATGCTGAGCAGCTGAGCCAGGCTGTCCCCAACAGCAGTCTGCACAAACAGCGGCAGAGTGTGTGCTGGCGTGAAGGGCACAGCCGGCACCTGGCAGAGCTGTGGGCTTCCAGGCCCCGCTGGAGGAAGGTAGGACACCCCCCTTCTTTGAGTGCTGTCACAGAATGCAAGTCCCAGGCATGCAGAGACAACATTTTCTTGACTGAGGAAACAAAACGGTTCTGTCGGGCTGCCTTCTCACAGCTGAGCCAAGCTAACAAAATCCTGTTATCAGAAAAAGCCCCATCCACATACGGCTCTCTCCCCCACTGCCTCCCTCTCTCCTCCACTGCCTCCCTCTCTTCCCCTCCCTCCATCTCTCCCCCTTCTCCTCTTCCTTCCTCCTTCTCTCACTCTCTCCTTGTGGCAATACACAATTTTAAAACTTTACCACCTTAATCATTTTAAGCACAGAGTTTGGTGTTAAGTACATTTGGATCATTGTAAAACCAATCTCCAGAATTCTTTTCATCTTACAAAACTGAAAGTCTATACCCACTAAACAATTCCTCACTCTCATCATCTTGGATTGGCCTACTCTAGATATCCCAAGTGGGACCATACAGTATATGCCTTTTTGTGACTGGTTTACTTCACGTATTCTCACATCCTAAAGATTCACTCAAACTGTAGCATGTATCAGAATTTTGTTCCTTTTAAGGCTGAATAATATTCCATTTGTGTACAGACCATATTTTGTTTATCCCTTCATCTATTCTACCTCTTGGCTACTGTGAATAATTCTGTGAACATGGGTGTACAAATATCTCTTCAAGACCCTGCTTTCAGTTCCTTGGGGTATACACCCATAAGTGGAATTGCTGCACATCTCTTTTTTATTTACCTCCATGCTAACTTTTTCAGGGATACTGATCAGTTGATTTTGTGAACAGAACAATATGAGTTCTCCCTGTGTCCCATTGATCAAGGTCATATGGGGGAAAGGCCTAGGATCTGAAGTCATGGCTCTGGATTTTAAGTCTCCATGAACCACTTACCAGCTATGTAATCTTAGGCAAGTTCCTTAATACCTCTGAAACCTGTGTTTTTCTCCTGTAAATGGAATACTAACAGTATTAGTTTCCTAGAGATGCCTTACAAAGTACTGAAAACTGGGGGGCTTAAAACAGCAGAAATGTATTCTTTCATAGTTCTGAACACAAAAAGCCCCAAATCCAAGTGTCAGCAGGGCTGGTCCTTTCTTGGATGCTCAGAGGGAGACTCTGTCCCATGCCTCTCTCCTAGTTTCCAGTGTTTGCCAGCAATCTGTGGCTTGTAGCTACGTAACTTCAACGTCTGCCATCTTCCCCTTGTGTGTCTGTGTCTTCACTTGGCATTCCCTTTTCTGTGGGTGTCTAAACTTCCCTCATTTTATAAGGACACCAGTAACTGGATTAGGGGCCATCCTAATCCGGTATGACCTCATCTTAACTTGATACATCTGCAAAGATCCTATTTCTAAATAAGGTCACATTCACAAATATTGAGGTTAAGACTGCAATCTATCTTTTGGGGACATAAAATTCAATCCCCAAAACTCCCCCTTCAGGCTCCCTATGAGAATGAAATCCATTTGTCTGTGCTGAGCCAGCATCCTGGGTGGGAGGAGTGATCATGCCAAGCTGACATTTAGCTTGTGTGCCTTCTGAATACAAGAACTTCCTTCTCCCTGTGCTGCTTGATTCAGAGTGTTATGTCCATTCTTGTTTTCTAAGTGCTCCTCTGGTTCCAACTGGGACCGCATTAACTGTGTGAGTTGTTAAATGTTCAATGTCATTTTCATCACTGGGACGAGGAAGAACATTAAGTGTGGACTTCAGTGGATCCATCTGGCTCCTTGAGCTTCTCTGTTTTTGCTGCCTTTGCTCTCTGAGGAGCATGCCCTCCGCTGCTCTGCACCTCCCTCCCCCCTTGTCCTGGGAGGACCAGAGTGCCTGGGATGATGTCGGAAGTGACACCATCAGGGCTGCGAGGTCACTACGTCCTTCCCAGCCCATTCAATAGTCACCACATCCATAAATACCACACCCCAGAGAGGCCTGGGCTGCCTAACTGATATATTGTCTTCAGATGTTCGCCTGTGTCCTACATAACGTTCTCCAAGCTGGGACACACAAAACAGATTTACTGGGAGTCGGGACAGAAATGATTAACTCTCAACACTTTAACGATATCGCTGCTAAATGGCTTACTTACCCGTGTGCTCTGTACTCGGGAGGAATAACCATTTTCCAACATACGAAAATCAGCATTTCTAGAAGACATAAAATTAAGGGATGATTATTTGGGTTGAAAAAGGATTCAGTATGTGATTTCTTTAAAGGAGAAGATGTAATAAAATAATAAAAGTTTCCACTTGAAATTTTTCTGACCTCATCTATTGAAAAGGGTGCTGTCGCAGGGCCATTTTCCAGAATACGCAGCTCTGAGGCCCTGAGATGAACTTTTAAAGGAGTTCAGATGAAGAATTCAACTGAACCCCTCCCTTTAGCAGCTCGGCAGCCCTGCCACCTGGCTGCTCAGGTTGGTGCCCGCCCCACACTTGCCTGTTGAGCTGCAGGTGGCTAAAAGGAAGGAACTCAGTGACACAAACTTCTCAGAGGTTTGGGCAGGGCTACTTGGTGATTTATTTACAGAGGCAGCTCTGCGGTAAGATCAACACCAGGGCAATTTGACTCGGCAGGTTGCTAAACCCTAAGGCAAAGTCGAGTTTTAAAGTGTGGGGTTTTTTTATGCTCTCTGAGTCTAGTTAGTTTTAATGAGCTGTGGCTTTCTTGTGAAAGAATTAAAGAGCAATTCCTAATATGAACGAATCTAAGAGTAGGACTCGAGACACAAACAGACACATTCTTCCCTGTCCCTGCCACCTACTCTCGGTCATATAAAGTAGCCCTGGCTTCCACACATCCTGGCAGATAGAACATCAGGGTAGCTTATCTCCAGTTGTAAAAGCCTGCTTAATGCTACTAATAGCATAAGTAATTTTGCTGGAAAGCCTGGGGAGGATTCTTCCATTTATTACCTAGTGAATCAATTCTAACTTTAATAGAAGAGACGGTGGCTATAGACCACAATGTACAATAAAGTGCTGCATGTAAATCCCAGTGGGGTTTTGATGCCAGGATTCTGAAAGGGAACAAGAGACGTTCCCTCACCTCCCTTTCACCTATTTGACTGCTTGGAGTGTGGGAAAGGAGACTCGCAATGCCTGGCAGAAGCAGCCTCTGTTCTTCTGCGTGTGCCCTTGAGACTTGCAGCCGCAGTGGCAGAGAAGGCCGGCACAGAACCGGGTTGCAGGCATTGTGTTGCCAGGGGCTGAGAGGCACGGATGAGATGATGCTGATTACAAGGACTGAACAAAAGCAGAGAGCAGAGTTCAGAAAATGGCTGAGAAAGAAAGAAAGAAATGCCCTGTGAGCCCAGAAAAGTGGATATTGCACACTGGGTACCTCTCGTGCCTATGTCCTTCAAAGATGAGGCCCGTCCTGCCTGAAGTCAGTTTTACTGCTCCTCCCAGGGGCTCTCTCATGAGGCCGGGGAAAATGGAGAATCCTTCTCACTGAAGAATCAAATCTGATCGGACACCCACTAACATGGGAAATGGCAAACAATAAACACGCATGGCCAGAAGAGTTCATTCGCCTGCCATTTCTCGACACACTCTTACCTTGTCAATATCTTCTCCCTACCACACTCCAGGCAACACATGAGAGCAGACTGCACCATTTTCCTCCCAGATGGCCTGGTCTGCTTGGACATTCTAGTACCCAGCTTCCCTCTCAAGCCCACTTTCAGCCATATATTTATTCCCACTGCCAGTTCTTAAGCCCCCTCAGTCAGGGACCTGAGGCCCAAACCAACCTGGGCAGTCCCAGCAACGTGCAGCTGTTCCAAGCTGAGGACTGAGCCGCAGGTGCAGACTTCACTGGCATCTCACACAACTGTGTATCGGAAAGGGTTAATTTCTCACTCGCTGTTACCGAGTTGGCAATTTCTTACCTAGAATCAAGAAACCCTAGTCGTTTGCTTAAAGCAAAAAAGAGAACTTGAACACAACCCTTTGTTTCTTTCTCAAAGCAGCTTTTCTACAGGGGCTGTGGGGAGAGATCTGTAAAACCACAGCCTGGCCCCTGACGATGAAATGACAACTAATTTAGTTTTAAATGGGTCACCAAATATCCCCAGTGGTGTTTTTTTTCATGCTTTAAATACGCAGCATGATGGGAAAGTGTAATACTTTAAGGAATTGCTTAGAATCTTTTCTGTCACAAGGAAACAAGTTCCATATCTTCTCTTATTCACCTGTATCTTTTCCCTTTCTCTGTGCTGTAAAATGTGTCAGGGATATTCTTTAAAGTGCCTATTTTTTTCTCCCCATAGGAATGCTGTAGGTAGGAAATCTTGCTCAACAGAGCACTCACAGTTAAAGGTTTCCAGATACTGCCTGGAATATTCTAAGAACAGTGAGTCAAGTGTGCTAACCAGAAACACCCTGCTGGGCTCTTCTCCCGGGCAGCACGGGGAGAGGCCTGCGGTTTTGACACTTAACCCTCTAATAAAGAGGAAGTTCTCTGGGATTCTTTTGAAACCTCTCAGGCACAGGAAGAAGAGACTGATTTAACTGTGGTTATCCCTGTGTTTCAGTCACTTCACTGCTCAGTTAGACACTGAGAACAAAGCTGAAACGAGAGAGGAGAAAATCCGCTTCTGTTTCATGGTCTGTGCGCAGTAAAGCTGCACGGGGAGGAGCAGACAGTCCACCCCGACCCCAGGGAGGCCCCTGTCCTGGCCCCCAGAGCCTGGGACTATGCCGCTGTGCCTGGCAAAGGGACTCGGCAGATGAGATGACGTGAAGGATCTCGAGATGGGGAGATTTTTTTGGATTATTCCAGGGAGCCCAATGTAACCACAAGAATCCTTACAAGTGAAAGAGAGAGGAAAGAGAATGTCAGAGTAGTGTGATGTGAGAAAGTCTTGACCGGCCGCTGCTGGCTTTGAAGATGGGAAGGGGCCATGAGCCCAGGAGGCAAGTGGCCTCTGGAGGCTGGAGAAGGCAAGGACACAGACTGTCCCCAGGTCATCCACAACATAGCCCTGCGCTACCTAGACATCCGCCTGGCAAGACGCATTTTAGACTTCTGACCTTCAGAACTTCAAGACAATGCATTTGTGTTGCTTTAAGCCGCTTAACTTTGTGGTAATTTCTTATAGCGGCAACGGGAAACTAAGGGAGGAAAATGGAAAATGGCGCTCCCTAGAAATCAATGAACTACAGGTCCCAAAGTAACCACTCACATTCAGGTGGCTGACATGTCTCATTTGATCCTACAACTACACTAGAATGCAAGCCATTTTATCAGAAAGTAAGCTTCTTCAGGGCAGAGTCTTTGTTTTGCTCACTGCTGTATCCTCAGCACCTACAAAAATGTCTGGCACATAGTAACTGCTCAATAAATGTAGACGAGTGCATTAGTCAGAAAACAACACTCTGGGCCAGTTGGTAGCTATGATACAATCCGCAGGCAGAGTAACCTTTGCTAAAAATGACTCACATGGTTATTTATCTCTACTCCCCCCATCCTATTCTGAACCACTGTCCTCCCTGGCCACTTCAGTCATCTAGTCACAGCCACCTCTGCTCTTCTGCAATACTCCTCCATATTCTAGTCTGAGTGATCTTTTAAAAACACACTGGAACCTGTCTCTCCCTTACTCCCAGCACAGGTTCTGGGACAGAGAATACAATCTCTGGCAGGGCCTACCAGCTGCATGCTCTTGCCCCTGCCTTCATACCCAGCTTCATCTCGCATCATTCCTCCCATGTCTGTTGCAGATCCAACCAGAAGCTCAATGGGCCAAGTCCCTCCTTCGTCAGGACCTGTGCACATGCTGTGCCCCCTGTCTTGAATGTGTTTCCTTCCCACCTGCTCCCCACTATTTCTCCCAGGTAACCTCTGCACATGCTTCATTTTTCTTATCAAGAGTCATTTCCTTAGGAAAGCCTTCTGCAACCTACACTACCAGATTCACTAATACCTCCCCACCCTCATGCTCTCAGAGAATCCTTTGTAGCATGTATCGCTGACTTCCCGATGTCTAGAACAAAACTTGGAAGAAAGAAAGCAATACACATTTGTGGCATAAATAAACTTACCGAAGGTTAAGTGATTTTCCTAGAGTCACACAGCTTGTATGTGCTAGAGCTAGGAATAGAACCCAGGTGTTCTGACTTCTGTGTCTTCCCACTACTCAACATGGCCTCTCTAAGTAAGTCCTGTAGAGGTGTCTGAAAAACAGAAGAAGAAACTCCGCAAAGACTGGAGCAGCAACTGCTGTGGCGGTGAACTACACAAGAGGAATAGCCTCAGACAAGCCAGCCTGGCATGCGGACACCAGGGACGGAGCCTTGGCTTTGAGCATAGTGTATCTTGGTCCAGGAGGAGGAGAGGCAGGGCTGCCAACAGCAATAAACCCCACAGAGCCTGACAAACTCCAACAGATTATTCAGGAAACAGCTGGCACGCACTCACTGGACTTTGCAATCACATTTGTGCATGAGGATGAAAAGACTGTCAAAAGTGAGTTAGCAAATTCTGAGTCCAACAGTAGGTGCCTGCTATGGACTGAATTGTGCTCCCCACAAATTCACATGTTGAAGCCCTAATCTCCAGTGTGACTGTATTTGGAGACAGGGCCTTTAGAAAGGCAAGTAAAGTTAAGCGAGGTCATAAGGGTGGAGTCCTAATCTGAAAAGATTGGTGATTTTATAAGAGGCGGAAGAAATTTTCTCTCTCTCTCTCTCTCCCTCTCTCTCTCTCTCACACACACACACACACACACACACACACATACACACACACACACACACATTGAGGAAAGGCCATGTGGGGACACAGGGAGAAGGTGGCTGTCTGGAAGCCAGGAAAAGAGCCCTCACCAGAACCAAGCTATGCTGGCATTGTGATCTCAGACTTTCAGCCTCCAGAACTTGAGAAAACGAATTTCTGCTATTTAAGCCATCCAGTCTGTAGTATTTTATTATGGCAGCTGAGCAGACGAGGGCAGTGCCCAGATGTTTGTAGCATTAATTTAAATCCAGTGTAGCACTAATTTAAACCCAGTGGTTCTGGATAAGAAGATTACAGCAAAATTAATTTCTTCTAAAGAGGTTATAGTGAACATCTGCTATTTTGCAGGTCCAACATCAATGCCCCCATTTTAGGAACAGCACCTTGGTTTTCCATGGGAAAATGCTGGACTTCTCCCAACACCACCCCAACCCTATCACTGTAGCAGTCTCAGTGGAACTGTCAGTAACGCCGTAACTTCCTCTTCCCAAGGAATGGTCATGTGACCCAAACTGGGCCAGACAGGAGCAGGGATTTGAAAATTGAGCACAGTGACACAAGAACTGAAACAATATTGAAGCTGATTTATTTTGATGCTAGTACCTAGGAAATAAGACTTCCCAATAAGTCCCATTATCTAGATTCCTGGAGCCTCCCTAATTTCTGCCCTTATCAAAGTCTGGTTGGTCAGTTGCTTCCTCACTTTGATGAAATATTCCATATCCTTCCAATAAATTCTTTTATAGCTTAAACCAGCCAGATTTGGATTTTGTTTCCTGTAACCAAAGAACTCTCAGTGATACATGGGTCTATCAAATCTGTGCTGCCAATTTTTTTAATGCCAATGAATTATTTTGATATAATTATGCAACTAAAATGCATATACATATTGAAAGCTAGCTATAATTAGGCAAGAATTTTACTTTATAAAAGTTTAGTGATTAGTATATGCATTATAAAAAAATGTGCTATATTTCTAGAAGTATTTTTTTTTTTCAACAAGAGAATCCTAATATCTAAGGCCATCTGGGTAACAGTGGAGTTAATGAGATTTCTATTCTGACCATCCAAGGAACAATTAGGAGAATAAAGAGATAATATATATTTTAATATTAAAATCATGGATGCTACAGACCTGAAAAATAGTAGAATTCACCTGGTAAATCAATTTCAACCAAATTCTAACCTTCCTCTTACATGAAGTATGGATTTGGGCTTATTATTCTCAGTCTATTTTAGCTCTTACCCTGAAAATCCACACCAGAGATCTGGAGCCAGACAGCGAATCAGAGGGAGCTCTCAGGGCAAATTACCATGACTTTCGTAGTAACATTTGTGAATTGAGGAAACCCGCTCTCTTTTTCCAGGCTCAGTACATTTATACTTTTCTATTTTGATAGGGAGGAATAGAGGCTGCAAAGATGCTTAATGTGTAATGATGAATATTTAAGAATATTCATTCGCTCACTGAAATAGCCCTGACATTTTAAATTATGTCTTTTTTAAAGCACACTTTAATTTTTAATTTTTTATTGTGAAGCATATTATTTTTATAAAAGGACTGTATAAAATGTATTGGTAGAGTTGAAAGAGTAATAATAATCTCTCATGGCATTTGAAAATTAGAACATTACCAGTTCCTTAGAGTGTCTTGTGTGCCCAAATACTTCCTGATCTGTCCCCCACAGAAGTGACTACCACCCTATATTGTGTATGGGCCATCCCTTTGCTTTTCTTCATGGTTTTATATCATATATGTGGCTCTCTAAAGAATATATTCCACTATTTCTTCGTGACTTGCATCTTTTCTTCAATGTTGTTTTTTAGATTACCTAAGGTGGATGCCCATACCTGTTCATTTATTTTGAGTTACTATATAATATTCCACTTTACAAATACCCCATCATTAGTTTATCCACTAATAAATTATTTATGAATTTTTGCTCTTAGGGGTAAGGCTTCTGTGAACATGTTTTCTAGAGCATATATGCAAAAGTATCGTTATGGTACATACTGGGAGTGGAACTACTGGATCACAGGTTAGGCACAAGCTCAACTCTCCTAGAAAATGCAAGTATTTTGGGGCATGGTTATACCAGTTTATACTTTCCACAAGCATGGAATAGTGTTTCTATCATTCTGTCCCTTTGGATTGAGCAGAGACAACATGGCTTAATGGCCTTTATGCCTCTCTCTCTTCCCAGTAGGATGGCAAGAGGATGAAGGACCCATGCAGTGTGGTAACTCTTCTGCCTGGGAGTGTTCTTCATGTGATCCTAGTGAGTATAACTGTGTCCTCTTTCATGACACAGTGATATGCTTTTTAATTTGTATAAATCTGTTAGATGTACAACAGTAACTACGGTAGCCGGCATCCAAGATGGTTTTCAATGATGTTTGCCTTCTGGTATTCACCCTTATGTAATGCACTCTCACAGTAAACACAGCTGACCAGTGTAGGCAATAAGGTATTTCATAAACAACAGACTGTGGTTTCTGTGAGGTCATAAAGGACATGGCAGTTTTTGCCTGGCTTTCTTTTGGATAAAGCACTGCTCTGGGAGAAGCCAGCTGCCATGTTATAAGGATGCTCAGTTTCTCCATGTGGCAACAGCTAACAGCCAACAACCAACATTAATTTACTAGTCCTGTGAGTGAGCATCTCACAGACAGATGCTCTGGTCCCAGTCAAGCCTTCAAATCTCTACAGCCTAGCTAACTTCTTGACTGCAACCTTGTAAGATATCCTGGCAAGAGTCACACAGCTAAGCTGCTCTCAAATGCCTCCCCTCTGCCCCTGCAGAAACTGAAATAATAAATACTTATTATTGTGTTAAGCCATCAAGTTTTGGGGCAAAAGAAAACTGATAACTGATAACTGCTACTGCTCAATTTGGCTTCAGTTTGCATTTCCCTGATAACTAATGAAGTTGACATCTTTTCCTATGATTATGGACTATTAGTTTTCCTCTTTTGTAATATCTGGCTCATATATATTTCCCCCATTTTTGTGTTGGTTTATTTGTGTTTTTTGTATTGAATTTTCAAAATTGTTATATTCTAGATACTAATCTGTTGTCGATATGATGAATCTTACATATCTTCTCCCAATTTTTAGTTTGTCTTTTTATTCTTATTACTGTATCTTTTGATGACCTGAATTCTTAATTTTAATATAATTCAATATAGTAATCTTTTCCTGCAAAGTTATAGTTTATATTTTTGTATCTTTTTTTTTTTAAGCAGGGTCTCATTCTGTTGCTCAGGCTGGAGTGCAGTGGTGCAATTATAGCTCACTGCAACCTTGAATTCCTGGGTTCAAGCAATCCTCCTGCCTCAGTCTCCAGAGTAGCTGAGACAATAGGTATACACCACCATGCCCAGCTACTTTTTTTTTTTCTTTAATTTTTGTAGACACAGGGTCTCACTATGTTCCTGAGGCTGGTCTCAAACTCCTGACCTCAAGTGATCCTCTTGCCTCATCCTCCCAAATCACCAGGATTATAGGCACACAGCTTTTTGTGCCTTCTTTAAGAAACTCTTCCTGGCTGGGCATGGTAGCTTACACCTGTAATTCTAGCACTTTGGAAGGCCAAGGCAGGAGGATTGCCTGAGGACAGGAGTTCAAGACCAGCCTGGGCAACATAGCCAAACCCCATCTCTAAAAAAAAAATAGCCCATCATGGTGGCACATGCCTATAATCCCAGCTACTTGGAAGGCTAAGGTGAAAAGATCTCTTGAGCCCAGGAGTTCAAGGCTATGGTGAGCTATTATCTGTTGCACTACAGCCTGGGCAAAAGAGTGAGACCTTGTCTTCCTTACTCAAGTTCTTGAAGATATTCCCTATACGCTATCCTAAAATTTTACAGGTTTTCCTTTTACGTTGACTCTTTTACCAAGATTGACTTTGGGTTAAAATATAAGATAAGGATCTATTTTCAAGGTTTTTAAGAAATATATGGTAACTATACTCTCCATAAGCCATTTGTGAAATAGTCTGGTCTTTCTCCAGGGATTTGCACAAATAAAATTCCCATATATTCATGGATTTATTTCTGGACTCTATTCTGTTCTATTTATTCCACTTGTCTATTTGTCTTTCCTTACATCATTAGAATATTCTTAATTACATACTCTGATGATAGATTTTTATCCAGTAGTGCAAGTCTTCCCATCTTTCTTTTTCCTCCTTAGTCTTCTATTCTTCCATATAAATTTTTGCTTCTCTCTTTTTTTTTCTTTCTCCACCCAGATATCTTCCATATAGATTTTCAAATCAGCTTGTCAAATTCCACAAAAATCACAATGGGAGTTTTTGTTTTCCTGAAATTTTACCAGATTTATACATCAACTTGGGGAGAATTAAAATCTTTACAAAACATAGTCTTCTATCCATAAATATTATATATCTTTCCATTTATTTAGGCATTCTTTAATAACTTTTGATAAAGTTGCATCATTTTCTCAATAAAGGTACACATTTTTGTTAGATTTAGTCCCAGTTATATTTTATTTTCATGCTATTATAAATGGTATTTTTAAATTCATTTTTCTACATAATTATTGCTTGTGTATAGCAATTCAATTGACATATATGGAGATATATATTTACTTGGTTTCCAGCAACTCTGACAAACTTTTTTTTATTGTAACAATTTCTTTGTAGATAATTTTCTTCATAAACAATCATATCACCTGCAAATTACATTCAATTTGCATCTTCTTTTCAATCCTTAAACATTTTATTTTGCATGTCTAACCACTCAGTGCTGAATAGAAGCAGCAGTAAAGGACCCTCTTGTCTTGTTTCTTATTTTAAGAGGAATAATTCAACATTTTGACATTAAATATGGCATCTGCTGTGGGCTTTATGTACATGCTTGTAACAGATGCTGTATTGTACCTCGGAGGTCCCCCTTCTGAGGTGAGGTAATTCTCCCAGCAGCTGGGAGTGCTGCTGGCAGACAGCTCCCAACTGTCAATGTTCTTCACCTTGCCCATGTCACAAACAGTTCCTGGGGCAGCCCACCACTGATTAACATGGGGTACACAGGACCAATCTACTCACCTTGAGTCAGGACAACCGAAAGAGCCAGTCTTGTTTCAGAGCTCTCTGTAGGGTTGGCTGAGGTTTTCTCTAGGCTACATTGCAACCCAGCTTCTCCTACATCTCTGCCTGATCCTACTTCCTTCCTTTCCCTTCCTTGGGTGCTGACACCAAGAACACTCCCTAATAAACCTCCTGTGTGTTAATCCCCGTCTCAGAGTCTCCCTAGGGAACCTAAGCTGTGACAATGACTCTTATCAATTCTTGAGTAAGGTAATTCATAATAAACTAGTAAAATAATCCAGAATAAACTAAAACTCACATGAAAAAGCCCATATAGGAACTGAGCTGTAGAATGCACTTGGCAACAACAAATTAGTAAGAGAGTACTTATGTGCTAAACACTTTGCCAAGCTTCCTCTTCTGAATACATATTTCCTTCTGAGAATTTACTAATTCTCAAACCTCTGTTGAGTTTATCACTCATTGGTCACACAAAAATATCCACAATTGAGCATAAGCAGAATCAAACAAGATTTACTATGACCCAGTCCTTCAACTCAGTGAGAAGTCTCAGATCAGGAATGTTAAACACAAATCCTATCTTTATTGCCTAATTTGGCTCTTTGTTTCCTGATATTTTCAACTCTAAGTGTTGATTAAAATGAAAGGAACATTATATGAACATCTGGATCCCAGTTCAATCCATCCTCTAAGCTCCTCACTACCAAGGGAAAAGGCAATTGAAATCTAATGTTCGTGGAAGGTATAAGTTGAAGCCAGGGTAATAAAAAGATTCCACCTCAAGTGCCAACTTCTAGTGACTGGCAGCAACTACCTGAGTCACTGTGTTGCAAAGGATTAGAGCACTATGTCCCCACTCAAAGGAAAAGAGAGCTGTAATCCATTAGAGATGTCTCACAGGGGGGATAGGCAGGACTGAAGTGAGGAGTGGCTAATGGATAAGAAAATAGAAGACTGAGTAAATAAGGGAAGAAATTTGCAAATGAATGAAAAGTGGCATTTACAATTGTAATTACCTTTCTCTTCAAAAATGTAGGTTTGGAGTGCAAGAATTATTGAGACTGGGATGCAGGCAGCTGTGGTAGTACCAGATGACAACTTTAATGATCTCGTGGGGTTGGAGCTGTATCAGAACCTCAAATAAGAGTTCTTGTCCTCTAGCCAAGCCAGCCTAGTAGGAGTTACTAGGGTTTGCTGCCAACTAACTTACAGCAAATTATATTGCATTTGCCACCACAGGCTGGTAGGAGAAAAATACTTAGCAGAAAAGAGCGGGTAAAGGACTGAAACTGATTCTGCAGTTATTAGAGGCTGGCTAACAATACAAATGTATTCTTTTTTATGGGAGAAATGATATACATTCTGATACTCAGTATCGTTAAAACCTACAAGGAATTTAGCATTTGTTATTTCAAAACAGAAATAAATAAATAAAGGTTTTATGGGGAGCAAACTTGTAAAAATTTTATTCTCAAAATGAGGCCTGATTATACAAGAAAGGAAATATAATCAACTTAAGCAGAAATGGAATTTTATTCATTTGCATACTTTACTTGAAAGCTTTCAGTATAAATTACTGTATTGTTCTCCCTCCTATAACCACCTTTCCAAATGCTAGCTTGAGCATAAATTAAAGAATAGCTCTACCCCTATAACTCTCCTTACCTCATCTTCCAATACTCTACTGTCTTCCTGTGTTAAAATGTATCTATAGCATAAAACACAATACAGGATCATATTTTATGGTAGAGGAGATTAGGTTATGAACATGTGTGAGGGCCCTCTAGACACAGTAAACAAAATTTAAAGAAAGAATAAGGAAGAATTCTAAAATTGCCACAAGTCTGCCCAGATTACTCAAGCAAAAGTTTAAAGACTTGTTTCCATACTTAACAGGGTCTTTTGAGCCTACAGGGCCATGTAATATTTTTTTATTATTATTATTTTATTTAGTTAATCCAGAATAATCTTTAGGAGAAATGTTTCATGCCTGACTAGCTCAGAATCTCTGTCTTTAGAAGGAGTAAGTCAGGAGCCATTCCCTTCCACCTTTGACTTAGGATACCACTAGCATCAAGAAATGCAATTCTGAGCACAAGATTGTGGCAGATACCCAAGTAGGTGGATTTTAGGGGGAGCAGAGCATTGTTCTGAGTTTTTATTTGGTATTCAAATGAGGGTTTCAGAGACCGGTTCAAAGACGAGGTTCAAAGACGGTTTCAGAGACGAGGGTTCAAAGACCAGCTCTTATCCAATAGTTTCTGTCTATATGAGTTTAAACAAATTAATTTGTAAGTTTCCACAGTGTAGCAGGGTCCGAGGTCCAGGCAGTTCAGTGGTTTTTAAATAAGATGGCTATTTCTTTTTTTTTTTTTTTTATGATTTGGATTACCTAACACACTTTTCTATAAATCAACAAGATTACCGTCATTTTACATTAAACTACTTTTTAGGGAGCTATTAATAGAATTTATTAAATCTTCCCCTATGACAATCCTGTGGACTCTTTTCTTCCTGTAACTCCAGCTTGTGTCTTTTGGCCAGTTTGCCAGAACATGTTTGATACTATGGAAACATCTGTGTCTCACAGCAATTGGATCTAGGGCATTTATTTCTATTCCCTGGATAAGATCCACAGGAATCTGTCAGTCTTTCATGAAACGTTTATTTCCGAAACAATATACTGTTTTCTGATTTGGGGGCTCCCTAAAATTTCATTTCTAAAGCTGGAAGTCTTCCAGGAATGGTAGTTTTAAATTTTCCTCTGGCTCTAAGTAAATCACGTGGATTTTATTTAACAGTTGAAGTTATTTAACTGGAAAAATATATGACTCATATTCCAAATATTGACAATATCCAAATATTTCCCTTGTTTTTTTTTAATATGTTTAAATCCTTGTAGGCCTCTGTTCTTCCATCCTGCTATGTATACTAAAAACACTCAGTGTATTCCTCCCCCTGTTGGGCTTTAAGTTTATGTAGTTAAGTAGATTTTTGCCAAAGGCAGGGGTTCCACCAACCCTCCAATAGAGATTCCCAGGGTCATCCCCAAAGCCTCTGATTTTGTATATCTGGGGAACGGTCTGGAAATATACATGTTTTAAAACTCCCTTTCTGTTTAACTTTGCTATGAACCTAAAACTGCTCTAAAAAATAGACTATTTTTATGCATATAAATTAAAAAGCAAAAACAAACAAACAAACACAAAAGCAAAACAAAAAGCAAAAAACAAACACACAAAAAAACTCCCCCCAGTGTTGTGACAGTCAGCCTGCTTTGAGAATCCCTGGGACTTTCCTCTAATACTGACATTAAGAACCTCAGAAAAATCTTGTTGGCTCTAATCCCTCTGGTTCCCTCTAGTGGACCAAAATAAAATGCACTTTCTACAACTTAAGCAATTAATGTGAGTGAAAACCACATTAAAACACATGGAAAGACCAATTATGAGACGCATTCAGAAAAAGGCAACACACATCCCAATAAAATGGGTCTGGGCCCTAAAAGGATGAGACAGTCCCACCATATCTGCTTCAAGTCTGGTTTTGCTGGGGAGGAGGGGGAGGAGCCCAGGTTGGCACTAAGTACAACAGACACAGGCAAAGGTTTCTCAATGCTGTCCTCTGCAGGTTGCATTCAAGTGTCTCTGCCCCACCACAGACCCCCACTAGTGATTGAGATGTCTGAGAACAGAGAAAAATGAAGTTTTATAACTCAAAGCATTTTATGTTGAATCCATATTATTCAGCTCTCCTCTCTCCCCTGAGAGAAGAGAAATTAAAGGGAAGTTGAATCTGGTTGAATACTCTGTGTGCACAAATTAGATAACCCTGCCATGTGACACGCTGGAAATTCCACAGACATCAAGTTATGAAACCGAATTTACAGGCATGACTGTCTCTGTCCACTAACCTTGCAGCACTCCAGGCGTGGAGTAGTGCAAAAGTTCTTCCTTTTGGGTAGCTCTGGATCCAAATGTGCATTGCACTCAGGGTATACTGCTGATTCCTTTATGACTACAGCCAGCAACTTGGGTCAGCCTGGGGAGAAACATAACTGAGCCCAGGTTCCATGGGTTAAGGAAAATCAGCTCTGGTATCAGTCTTTGAAGTTCGCAATTCAACCCCCTCATTGAGCAGAGGAGGAAACAAGGCCCTGGAATCCAGATCATCTGTATATTGCTTGAGTGCTTATTATCAGTGGAATATTCCATCCTAGTGACATCAGTATTCCAGAGGATACAGAAGATCTTCTGCCTTGTTGTAATCTAAAGATCTTGTGAATGGAGAAGGACATAGCTTGAATCGCATAAAGGGGCAAATGTAAATCAAAATACATGCAGCCACATCCAACCCTCTAACTCCTGTAACTGGAGACACACAGCTCACCTCTTGCATCCAACCAACCACTATGCTGTCGATTCTACTCTCTGTGTCTCTTTCAAACCTGCCTTCTTCTCTCCATGCCCACTGACACTACCCTGGTCCCGGCTATCTGCCATGGTCTCCTTGACTCTAACACAGCCACCCCTCTTTGCTATACTTTTCAAACTACAGCCAGGGTGATATTTTTTAAGTGCCAATCTCTTCAAGTCATTCTTCCTTAAAACCCTTTGATGTCTTCCCACTGCACTTAGGACAGAAATCTAAACTACTAGCATGATTTGTAAGGCTGGCTATGAAACATATACCAGTTCAGGTCATAGGGGGCTACTTATAGCTCCTTAAATGTGCCTTGGTCATTTAAGCTTTAACCCCTTCACAAATGCTTTTCCCTGCCTGAAACATCTCCACCTTCCCACACCCATCCCTACGCTCCTCTCCTAGCTGACACCCACTCAAGCATCACTTCCTCAAGGGGGCTCCTCACCCTTAGCCCACATCACGCCCTGTGGTCCCCACTCAGTAGCATGCACCATCCTGTACTCACTTGCCTGTGTGCGCAGCCAGAAAGTCAGCAGAAAGCCGTTTGCTTTATTCACTCTAGCATTCCCAGAGCCTTGCACAGTGTTTGGCACAAAGTAGGTGGTCAGTGAATGTTTGTTAAATGAATGAGTAGATGAGTGAATGACCTGAGGAATAATTGCACACTGCACATGTTCATCCCTCCCGGCTCAACTCTTCTCTCCCACCTCCCAACACTATTACAATATCTTGGGAAGGAAGGAGAAATGCTTGGTTTGAAAAAGCTCCCCAGGGGACTTAAGGGTGGCTGCTTCCTTCCTGCGCTCTCTTCTGATTGGGAATTCCTGATCAGTCAATCCCCTCAGCTCTAGACTCAGAGAAATTAAATGATCTGATCAACATCGCATGGTTACTTAGTGGCAGAGCCAGGTTTCCTCAGTCCTAGGGGAAGTCCCTTTCTATGACATTCAGTAGCACTGGCAGATACCCAGAAAATGCCTTCTCATAGCCTGCATGTGTTTAGATTTTTTTTTTTTTTTTTTTGAGACAGAGTCTTACTGTGTTTCCCAGGCTAGAGTGCCGTGGCATCAGCCTAGCTCACAGCAACCTCAAACTCCTGGGCTCAAGCAATCCTTCTGTCTCAGCCTCCTGAGTAACTGGGACTACCGGCATGTGCCACCATGCCCAGCTAATTTTTTCTATATATTTTTAGTTGGCTAATTAATTTCTTTGTATTTTTAGTAGAGATGGGGTCTCACTCTTGCTTAGGCTGGTTTCAAACTACTGACCTTGAGGAATCTACCTGCCTCAGCCTCCCAGAGTGCTAGGATTACAGGTGTGAGCCACCGCACCTGGCCTAGATATTTTTTATAAAGAGCAGAGAACAGTCCTAGATACTTGTTTCCCCTGTTGGATCCTAGATCCTGCTGTCCCACTGACACCCCCATTGTAGGCAAAATTCTAGGATGTCCTCCAAGATACCCTACCACCACAGTGTACACACATGTTTTTCAATCAAATACTAACCTAGGTGCTGCTGTGAAGGAGTTTTGCAGATGGAATTTCAGTCCCAAATCAGTTGACCTTAAGATAGAGAGAGATTATCTTTGGTGGGCCTGATCTAATCAGATGAGCCCTTAAAGGGATTGGGCTCTTCCTAGAAAGAGAGATTCAAAGCATGAGAGAGATTAGACACAGGGAGATTCTCCATTGCTGACTTTGATGATGGAGGGGCCACATGGTAGGGAACAGTGGGCAGTCTCCAGAAGCTTAAAGCAACCCTGACATCAAGAAAGTGGCAGCCTCAGTCCTGCAACAAGGGATGAGATCCTGCCAGCAACCTGAATAAGCTTGGATGACTCCAAGCCTCAGATAAGAATTGCAGGCCTGACTGATACCTTAACTTCAGTCTTGTAAGACCCTGAGCACAGAGGCTAGCTGTGCCATGCCTGGACTTCTGACCATCAAAAATGTGAGCTACTAAATGGTCGTTATTTTAAGCCATTAAGTTTGTGGTAATTTGTTACACAGCAATAGAAAATGAATATAACCTCCACACTGAAACTACAATAGCTCACATTCAGAGAAGTTCTCGAAGCCTGAGTGGCTGGAGTGTTACTGGGAAGTCTCCCACTTGCTGGCCTGCTAGTTGCTCCTAACAACTTCCCTGGGCACAGGGAAGTTGCTCTATGAGCAAGGCTGTGAAAACCTGTCCTCACAGAAAGTTGACTATTGATGCCCTGTGTAATTAGATCAACTATTCTGGGAATTTAAAAGTAGTTTGTCAGTTGTGGGTGCAAAGTTGCACATGTGTAGTTTATATGCCAGAAAACACAAGATCCCCAACACTGTTCCCTCTAAGTTTATAACCAGCTCTTCAGTTAATGTAAGGAATTAAGCCTGAAGTAAAAATTAATATTTTACATTATCAGATTTGCTTAAAGATGGCCAGACAATAATTGTTAACCATACATGTGTAATGACTGATTAATAAAGCTGGCTCAAGTCATAGACCAGACTTGTATGCAAATATTCTCAGAGTTTATCCTAAGAAAACTATTAATAGATGCAACTGCTTGCATATAAAGTAAAATGCCTCAATAGCAAACCACAACAATGTTTATAAAGAATGATTTATAAATAATACCTTCGAAATTACTTTCAAATCATTCGTAAAATTAGCTTAATTACCATAAATATTTTCTCTGTGACTAAACAGGACTTCTAGGGAGCTTTGAATCTCTGGAATTTTTATGTAAAATTAAGTATACATATCTGCATTTTCCTGAAGTAAAGGGTTCATCACTTTCATCAGATACATAAGCTCAAGAAAGCTAAAACCAACTGCTATACTGTAAAAAGTTTCCAAGGTTGTACCTACTTGGAATATACAGACTAATAATTGTTACCAAAAGTACTTTAAAGATGTAAAACAAAATAAACCATTAGGGGCATGGTTTATTTGATCTTCTAATTAGCCAGTTTGTTCATGACTGAATGTCTTTTCAAGTATTATTAGATTTGCCAGATGGAAAAAAAGACCTCTACTACCAGGGAATAACTTACTTTTTAAACCCATTATCATTTAGATGAACCCCTTATAAGCAATGATTTCAGCATGACTCATTTTAATAGCATATAATTGTCTTTTTAATAGAGTATGAGAAGGCTTTTATACCCCCAGGTAAAATTTTATAAATAAATGTAGATTTTTTAATTATAATTACAATTACTGGCATAAAGTTAAAGCCAATGGGCTAGTTATAATCATTATTGCCTTGATTTAAAAATTTAAGAGATGCCATCATAAGTTTCGACATAACTTAATTCTAAAAATTACCTAAAATATTGCAGCAGTAAAAGTTGTTGATCTCATGATGAACTTTGATACTGTAAAGCTCTTTGCATGGTTAACATATATAAGAAGTCTCCAATGCAGTGGCTAAAAACTGGAGTAAGAGCAACTCTGCCAGAATTTTTGTTAGAGACCAGATAAGTAAACCAAATAAAAAAAAAAAAGATAAAATCCTTTGAACTAAAAAATGTCTTTGGCAGTCATCTTTAACGGCATAAACACTGATTAGCTTAGACTATAAGTAGTCAAGAATATTTTAAATTGAAAAAAGAAATAAAATGAGAAATTTTAAGGCAGATATTGCTTATAACAGTTAACATATGAGTCCATAAATAATAATTGACAATGACTATAGTTTGGGAGTGTGCAAAGTTGTTTTGCAGTGTGTGCTTTGTAAATAGATCAGAAGATTTACCTAAACTTATATATTACAACTGTAATATAATCCCACAATCAGCAAATGGGTAACTTAGATGAAATTTAAAATGGAGAAGGGAGAAAACAAATGTTTCCAGATGTATTAATATTAATTTATAATATATAACAGTCTGTTTATTTCTACATATCTATCTCTCCAAAGATTCTGTGACCCAAACATCTATACACACTACAAATAGTGTGAACAGCAATCAACTTGTAAGCATTGGTGGTGGAATTTTATAGCCCCTTTAGAGAACAGTTTAGAAGTTTCTCAATATATTAAAACATAAAGTTACCATATGATACAGCAATCCTACCTCTAGGTATATACTCAAGAGAATTGAAAACATACATCCACATGCTTGAACACTAATGTTGATAGTAGCGTAATAGCCAAAAAGTAGAAACAACCCAAATGTCCATCAACTGATGAATGGATAAAGAAAATGTAGTATATCCACACAATGGAATATTATATGGCCATAAAAAGGAATGCATACTGATATATACTAAAACATGGATGAACCTTGAAAGTGTTATGGTAACTGAAAGACACAAGATACAAAAAGAGCATGTTTGTACGATGCCACCTCTACTAATGTCCAGAATAGGCAAATCCATAGAGACAGAAAGTAGATAAGGGGTTGCCAGGGGCTGGGAGTAATGCCAGGGGCTGACAGCTAATGGGCACAGCGTTTATTTTCGCAGTGATAAAACAGTCTAAAGTTAGATACTAATGATCCTTGCACGACTCTTTCAATATGCTAAAATCAACTGACTGAATTGTATACTTTAAAGTGGTGAACTTCAGGGTATGTGAATTATATCTCATAAAGCTATTATTTAAAAATAGCAAAAACTGACTGACATGTTGGAGAAGTTTTTTCCAGTGTCTTTTTTTCCTCATCTTTTATATTAATAGTTGCAATCATATTATGTTCATATGCTTAAAATTTTTAAAGTATGCCATTTTATTACCAACTCCTCAGAAACATAATCTTAATGGCTGTACAATATTCTATTGAGATCATCTCCCACGATAATAAAGGGAACTATACTGAGTGCGTAATAGGAGCTAAGCATTCTTCTAAGCCCTTTATATGTATCATCTAATTTAATACTGACAACTTTATGAGATAGGTGATTTTATGCTCACATTTTATACAAGAAGAAACCAAGGTTTAATTAATTTTATGGCTAGAGAGTGGTGGAGCCAGTTGCATTGCTTTGCATTTGTTTCCAGTTTTTCACTATTATAAATAATAAGAACTATCCTTGATTGCAGAAGACCATACTTCTGTGTCTATGGAAAGGTCCTGGCTTAATTAATAACTGCAGATCAGGGCCATCTGTGCCCAAAAGCCATATAAAATAATTCAGAGAGCAAAGCCTCTGCCTTAGGATCCATCATCTTTGGTGTCATCTGATCTCTTCTTGACACCTCTGGGTGACCCTGTATGTGGACACTGCCTGACAGGCCCTCTGTTCCCTGTCTGCTTATCTCCCCTTTAACTGAGTCCCTCACTGGTCCTTCTTCTGGGAGACTCCCAGCCTGCCTTTTTGTCACACACTTTGCTGGCTACACTTGCACTATGAGGCAGACTCCAGACAGCTAGCCAAACTTTCAGGTCCTAGAAATCCTGAACCAGTTAGATTAATCATTAAAAAGGATTCAAGTCCTTCATGTCTAACCATGTGAAATAGAGAAAATTAACCTCTCTGAGTCTTTTGTTATCTATAAAAAATGATGATGATCCTCCTGTATACTTCACAGGGGTGTTTTAAGGCTTAGCTAAGATAAGGTAAGTGTTTAATAAACTGCAAAGGTTGTAAAAATGAAGTATTGTGTTGGAGTCACAGGCACGTTGCAAAGCACTGGGGCCCCTGGCAGCAGCAACAGAACTGACACAGCATCTCAAGGTGACCATTGTGGAGGAGGCCAGCTGGGTTAGGGTATGACTGTAAATCGTACTCAAATTTATCAGGCTGTGGTATGTCCTGCTTCCAATTTTCTATACAAAGGACTAGCCAGGAAACAAATAGGCACTTCTAATTCAACATTCTCTACACAGATCTCACTGTTTCTTCCTTCCTCTCCCCCTCTGTTTCCTGTCTTAGTTAAGAGCACCACTACGTGCATAGTCACCAAAATCAGAAATCTGGTGATCATACTTGATTCCTAGTGATCCAAGCTAAAACTTCCAAGAGTTTGTTTCTCACTTTCCCTCAACCTCACACACAAACTGACCC